TTAAGAATAATTAAGTATTCTAGATAAGAATTAAGTTTAAGGCTGTGTAATGACTTGGTAATGTCTTAGCCATCCCAAAGTACTCATTAATTCTAGCACCCTCATGCAATGGTAGTTATTCTTAACATCAGTGACTCCTTAGGTCATTACATGAATTACATTAAGTCTGGAAATGACTTTGTACTTTCCTTGCCACCTGAGAGTACACATCAGTGCATGGAACTGTGATTGCTTGTGCAGAGAGATGGGGTCTGTCATAGTCCTCGGAAACCTTTCTCTTTACAACCACCCAGAGATCCTGTCTCACACAACATTAGGCATCAGGCTTGAAATCTAGCAGAAGCCAAACCAAAGTCTGTCAACTCTTCCTAAATGAATTTACAAGTGGGGAATGGGGGAATGAGATGAATGGCATGGGATGGTTGTGCATGAGTGCAGGGAAGCAACTAAAAATATTTGTAGAGATCTAAGTACACCACCCCAAAAATACACACATATTTTCCACCATTTAAATATCTTGTCCCTGGGTGGAAGCCAAACATTTTTCTATTTATTTCCATGTATGCCACCAAGTTACTAAGGAATTTAATTGCCTAATTAAAAATGTTAAGAAAATACCAGAAGGTTGAACATCCTGGAAAAGGACAAGGCGTTAGGAGGATGTTAATTCATCCTGCATCGTGTGCTGAAGAAAGGAAAGCGTTTCCGGTTGCTAGTGCTGCAAGCTTGCGCTCAAACTATTTGTGAAAAAGGCTGCATTTGGTCTGTAAGAGAAGCCAAGTTCTGCCTGTGATAAGCGTTGGGAACACATGCGATGATACCTCTTGTTTCCAGGCATCCTGACAGCTAGTTCCAATTTGCATTTCTAAATGGAATTAGCAGAGAAAGGAGATTTACACATTCCTTGCTGATTGGGCCAATTGATTTGGTTTGTGCTCCACACAGCAAGGCTTTGGTAGAAGCCCAAACCTCCCCGTTAATCTTCAGACAGAGTGACAGGAGAGATGACCTTTGGATGAAGATGGGGGTGGACTTGTGCTCAGGATACTTGTGCCACAAATTCCCCATGTGACATTACACCAAGTCATTCAAACTCTCTTGACTTACTCATTTTCACAACAGGGATAAGTCAGTTTTGCCAATTTAAATTACAGCGCTCTGAGCAGAGTGAGAAAAACTTTTTATTACTGAGTGATTAAAGGAGACCGGGTGAACCCTCCGCACACAAAAATTCTGCCCCTGAAGGCAACGCTGGGCAGCTACAGCCGCTCCTGAGAAATGCTTGAAACTGTTATCTTGGTACCTTGCCAGGAAAACAGAGCTGGTCTAATGGGAGGGACCCACACTGGTTATCCCTCGCAGTTGCCCTCCATTCCCCCTGCAATTCCCAGTCTGATACTGCTTTTCTGAGGAGAGGCTTGTATTTGTAGCATTTGCAGGTTTCCTGAGTGAGCACAGACAAGAAAATCCTATCCTTGCTCTCTGTCTCTTCAGTTTCACAGGCTATGAGGAGAAACGTTCACGCAGGTGGGACTGCTGTGATAACATGTCTGAACCCAAAGATGCCTCCCCAGGAGAAAGGCCTGGGGGTGAACTGGGTCAGCACTGCTCCTGCTGCCAGTGTGGGGAGTGGAGAGACTGGGAGAACAGTTGTGATCCAGGCAATAGTAGCAGCACATTTGGTGTCAAGTCTTTTTGCTATGAAATGCCAAGCTGCATTTGGCAATACTTAAAACTCAGCCCAGGTCAAAGGATATTATTCTAAAATATAATTTGTAGCTAAATAGTATTGTTTTAAATCCATAAAATACTCAACCTTGTTTCAAAAGGTTGCAAGCTTGCATGTCTGTGATTGCCTCCTGCCAAGAGGCTAGTTCCTGTCCCAAATGAACAGCAGGACTCAGCCTGGGACCCCAGCACTGATTAGGTGCAGAAAGCTGGTTGCTTTCCATAAAGCCTCGTATCTTGGTGGTGTTTGAATTTTCCACGGATCTGGGGTCCAAATGTATCATTTACTGGTTCCATTTAGAAATCTCTAGGCCTAAGTGACCCCTTTGATTCACGGACAAAAGCGAGAGGACATTGCAAGCTGCAAGAAGATACGTGGCTTAACCAGGCTTTCTGCAGGACAAGCTGAATCCAAGCGGCCAGGGAACAGGCCTGAAGTCTTCCTGACGTAATTAATCAAGCGAGTATGATGAACCATAAGAGGCTGGTGGAGTGACTTTGCCCTCAGCTTAGCTGCAGATGGAGCCAACACCAACGCAGACTGAAGGATTTTATGTGCAATGAGTCCTGAACACACTACCTGACCCACAGTGCCCGTGTTTCTCGTGAGGTCTGCAAAGTCTTTTTAAATTTATAACAAATACACTCTTGTATAATAAATGTAAACAGAAATCTATGTTTATATGAACATATAATATTTCTAGAAATACATGAATACAAATATAAACCAGTAAAAAGCGAAACTGGAGTCGGGATCTCAGCAAAGCTGTGGCAAATTAAACCATCGGGATTACTTACGCAGCGGGCACGTCACCCCGCGTGCTGGGGGGGGTGCCGATGCTGATGATGCTCCACTGTTGCGTGGAGCAAACCTTTTATCCGAGAAGGACACGTATCGTTTGGCACGCGCGCTCTTTGCCTCTTCTCTTACGCATCGCTCCAGGCACCTTCATTATTCAGCAGCAAAACAAGCAGCAGCACATTAAAAAAAAAAAAAGAAGGAACAACGGCTTTGGTGGTGTTACCACCTTGGTTGTGTTATCACTTACCTGCAGAAAAATAAAACTGGGCTCTTCAGAAGCGCCTGGTTAGCTTCCATTGGAAATAACTGTAAAAATTCAGATATACTCACCGGTTTTCCCCTGGTTTCCTCAGTCCCTCGGCCGCGGCCCGGTGGCTGTTTTAGCTGCATTATTCCTCTTCCATCTTCAACCTCTCTGAGCGGGGATGGCAGTGCCAGCCGGCCCCTGTGTCTCTCCTCAGCAGCGGCGGCATCCAGCCCGCCCTGCAAACTCCCACCGCATGCCCTCAACGAGCAAGGCGGCCCTTGCTCCGCAGCCATGCCTGCCGGCCTTTCTCTCTGCTTTCCCCTTTTCTTTGGGGCCGCTCTGCTTGAGTGAAACAAAATAAAACGTCCCCCCAGCGTATGTAGCCCAGCCCAAAGCAGCCCAAGGGGATGAGGGCCCGGGGAGAAGAGAAGGGCGAACAGGAGGGAACCTCGGCTGCTGTCATGGCTGGGGGGGGCCCCCA